GCATAAACTGGCCGGGTAGCGCATCTGGAACCGTAATCCTCTCTGAATGAGGCGTTCACATACCCCGTTGAACTGGCGCCGGGCTTCCCTCACCTGGGTTGACAGGTCCTGGCGGATGTAGATCTTGTCGCCCTGGTAGGAGATCTCACCTTTCTTCCGAACAGCAGCAAGGATCCGCTGCTTGTCGCTAAAATTGTGCAACTTAATAATAATGGGGCGATTATAATTTTCCTTCCGCGGGCCTAAGGCTCTGTGCGCCCGGTCGATTTTCATCGTGCCTCGTTTGGTCTCCAGCCCCAACACGTCGGGAAGCCAGGTCGCGAAAAAATCTACAGGTTGATTCCCCTCCGTCCCTTCCCTGAGACCCAGGATGCGAATGTTATCTCTGCGGCTTCTGTTTTCGTTGTCCTCGGCCCGGTCGGTTAAGATCTTGAACTTTTGTTCAAGTTCAGCTAGCTTCTTCTCCAAAGTGGTTGTGCGGTCTTCGCCATCAGAAATGCGATTCTCAGTCTCAGCTATTCGCTTTGTGTTGTCCTCGACTCGGCTGCTTAGTTTGTCAAGGACAGAATGCAGCTCGGTAAACTTCTTCTCCATGAGAGCACCAAGCTTTTCAGTAACAGTCGCAGAAACTGTGTTAGCCAAGTTTTCCTCAAAGGACATGCTGTCGCCATCATCCATGCTAGCCTCCGTGTTAGCCGCCTGTAGCTTTTTGGCTTCTGGACGTGCTCTGCGCGGTGCCTCACGTGGGTTCATATTCCCTTTAGCGCCGGACATGTTCACCAACAAAAGTGAGCGCAATATATCAAGTTAAGCCCGTCAAAAATATAGTTTATCGGTTGAGGGAGCGGGAGGTCGGCAAAAGCGATCCTCTCAGTCCGAATGCATCACGTGACCCCGTTTGCACACTTTGATATAAATAAAATAATGTTTCCGAGCTTGACAAAAAAATGCAAACTCCAGTACATCTTTTCATTGTTTCTATTCATTGTGAAGGCGGATTTGGTCATAAAACAAACTTTATTTATTTTAAACATAAATAAAACAGAAATAGAATTTTTAAAGAAAGTATTAAAAAGACCATCTATGGTGTAAAATTACTGTCTTACTGTGTGTCTTAGGAGGTGCTGGGATAGTTTGTGTGGTGAAAAGAATCTCTCATCGCACAAAGATGCAGGTAATCACACAGATTTTTACTTTCTTAATCTAGAATCTGATTTATCAACAAGCATTGTTGCATACCAAACTTACATATGGTCAATATGTTTTATTGATAATAAAATTAGGATTAAAAAAAAAAAAAAAAAACACATTAATAAGTCTGTAGTGCAAAGCTGCACTGTGTATAATCGACCAGATGTGTCTCTACTTCTTGTTCTAAGGATCATACACGTGATGAATGGCCACTCAGACAGTTTGTGTTACATCATACTTTTAGAAACACATTATAAAATACAAACACCAACACATTCTGACACACTGATTACAGATCTGTGCAGGAGAACTGAAGTAGTGCCACTGTGTTGATAGCAGCTCACTGCACTGTTCATTCCATTACAAAACAACACTTGGACAGAATGTAGACACAAGTAGCAGATTCCCATATCCAGTGTAGACTGGAAGTAAAAAGATGAAATAATGCTTTCTGTTATAGATATCGCATTTTCCAGCTAATTTCCTAGAATTTTTCTTCGTAATTTCCTTAAAAAATTGCTACTGCTAAAAGTTACAAATGGAAATGGAGAACAGATGAGCTGCTGTCATAAAATCTTTCCCTAGAGAAAAAGAAAGATGTTAACTAGGACCAAACAAATGGTTCTTTGCATTGATGCCACAGAAGAATTTTTGGTTTGTTTGTTTTTAAAGAACCCCCAAAGGTGCCTCAAAGAACCTTAACAAAAATAGATTCTTCAAGGAACCATTTTCAAGGTAGTTAATTGTTGCCCTACCTGGTTCTACAGACTTCTATCATAGAAAGTCACTCGGTGTGCTACTGGAATAGTGCACCCTGTGTAGCTGCAACAAATGAAGGATGGTCCCCCCACCCTGATCATCTGTTATTGTTTATGCCTTAAAATGACACGCAAAAGGCTTAAAAAGCATAGAATTGACACACAAATTGCTTGAAATGTATAGAAATCAACTATGAAAAGCTTACAAAACACTGACATGAAACACAAAAAGTTTAAAAATGTCGAAATGACACGTGAATACCTTAGAAAATGACAAAATAACATTCAAAATTTATATGCAATTCCGTGATATCACGTACAGTTCTATTTTGATACCAGGATTTAATAGTCGGATAATGAGTTCTGGACAGGTCTGGTCTGACAGAACAACAGCTGAAAAGATGCCAGCTTTGAGAGATTTGAGAAACTGTGATGGACATTTCTCACTGTTTTCTGATGTTTTAGACCAAATGAAGTTCTGATGATTAAAGTAATTGTCAGTTGCAGCTCTAATTTTACACGATAACCTGCCAGCAAACCAAGTAACTCCAACAGAGATGAAGAAGCTTTCATACTTTACGGAACTGCATAAAGTGCCTGAAGAACGATCCTCTAAATAAAGAAAGAATTTATGTCTTCATCTAGGAAACAAACAAAAAAAGTACTTGAAAATTAGCTTGACAATTACAGTTGAAACCAGAAGTTTACATACACTATAAAAAGGCATAAAACCTTTTTTCCCCCTCTCACTGTCTGACACTAAATAAGACTAAACTTTTCCTGTTTTAGGTCAGCTAGGATTACCCGAATGATTTCTATTTGGTAAATGCCAGAATAATGAGAGATAGAAAAAAAACAAAAAAAACCATTACTTTCTTCAAAGTCAGAAGTTTACATACATTTCTTTAGTATTTGGTAGCATTGTCTTTAAACCATATGACTTGGTTCAAATTGGGATTCCTTCCACAAACTTCTCACAATTGTGTGCTGGAATTCTGGCCTATTTCTCCTGACAGAACTGGTGTAACTAAGTCTGGTTTGTTGGCCACCTTGCTCGCACACGCCTTTTCAGCTCTGTCCACACATTTTCTACAGGATTGAGATCAGGACTTTATGATGGCCACTCCAAAACATTGACTTTGTTGTTCTTAAGTCTCTTTGTAACTAATCTGGCGGTATGCTTAGGGCCATTGGTCATTTGGAAGACCCATTTGTGCCTAGGCTTTAACTTCCTGTCTCGAGATGTTGCTTCAACATTTCCACATTGTGTTCTTTCCTCCTGATGCCATCTATTTTGTGAAGTGTACCAGTCCCTCCTGCAGCAAAACACCCTCACAACATGATGCTGCCACCCCCGTACTTCACACATGGGATGGTGTTCTCAGGCCTGCAAGCTTCCCCTTTTTACTCCAAATGTAACGATGGTCATTATGGCCAAACAGTTCAGTTTTAGTTTCATCAGACCACAGGACATGTATTCAAAAATTAAGGTCTTTGTCCCTGTGTGGATTAGCAAAATGTAATCTGGCTTTTTTTAGATGTTGCTTTTGAAGTAATGTCTCTGAGTAGCCTTTCAGCCCATGTCGGCACAGGACTCGTTTCACTGTGGATAATGACACTCTCTTACTAGCTTCAGCAGCATCTTCACAAGATCTTTTGCTTTTGTTCTGGGGTTGATTTTGCACCAAAACACTTAATCTCTGGGACACAGAACCTGTCTCCTTCCTGAGCGGTATGATGGCTGGACATTCCCATTGTGTTTATACCTGCATATAATTGTTTGAACAGATGAATGTGGAATCTTCAGGCATCTGGACATTGTACCCGAGGATGAACCAGACTTGTGGATGTCCACAATTCTCTGCCCGATATTTCTTTAGATTTTCCATGTTGTCAAAAAAGAAAGCAATGTGTTTGAGGTGTGCCGTAAAGTACATCCACAGGTGTGCCTTCAATTACCTCAATGTTTTCAATTAACCCATAAAAAGCTTTCAATGCCATGAGATCATCATCTGGACTTTCCCAAATAGTTTGAAGGCATAGTAATCTTAGTGTACGTAAACTTCTGACTTTGAAGAAAGTTAAAAAAAATATTTCTAAAAGAATTCTCTCTCTCATTATTCTGGCATTTAGCAAATAGAAATATTTTTGGTAATCCTAACTGACCTAAACAGGAAAGGTTTACTCTGATTTAATGTCAGACAGGTTGTGTGTCTTTTTATACAGTGTATGTAAACTTCTGGTTTCAACTGTACATGCTAATCAATGACAAGATGTCCTTTAAACACATGACATCAAAGTATTTGGTCCTGACGTGTTTGTTTGAAGCTCTGCAACACTCACATAAGAAGAGACGGAGGAGAGCACCATTCTAATTAACTGGATGAGGACATTCTTTGACTGGTTTTGTACAGCTGCTGTCTGCGAGTCTGAAATAGCATCAATCCTCAGCGAGTAAACAGAGATGCATTTCACCTTCTAATGTTGTCCCATCCTTTTCTTTCCTTCAGCACGTTATTCGTCTTTCTATATGTGTCTCATGTTCCCCGTGCCGTCCTCTATATTTAGCTGGCCTGTGACCCAGCTGCTGCAGACTTAACCCTGCTCCACACATTGTCAAAACAAGGGGCTAATCCTGGCCAACAGGTGTGAGTTCTGCACACAGATACACTCTCTCCAAGCTGTCCTGTTTCCACACAACACACGCTCGATGTGACAATGTTGTCAGGGGAAGACGACGCTCACACTTTCCGCAGCCAGCCCGACAATGCTGCAGGTCAGGAGTCAGAGCTGTGCACATGCTGAGTGATGAAGTGACGTGTTCATACGGCATCTGTCACACACTAATGTTTGTTCTCAAGATGTTCCTCCATCCTCCCACCGATGTGGGAATCTGCTTGGTGAAGTGGTTCGAATAGAACATCATGGCTAAATTATGCAACTTAATCTGTATAAAAGCAGTATAGATTTCTTCACTATCTGCGTACCAAACTCCCTCACCAGTGCCAGGTTGCATCTGCGTGTCAGCACTTTGTGTTCAGAACATTGGCTCTACTGTGAGGTACTGTGAGGGCTCTTGGAAAGCGTCTCTGAGCCTGTGCCGTTGGATATGACCTCCACATGAGGCTGGCTGTGATCGGCGACGGATGGCAGCTCTGCTTCAGTTTGCTCAGATGTTGCAGGATGGACGGCCGGGAAAACGGCGGTCTCTATCCGAGTGGCTCGATATATGCTCACCTGAAAATAAAGAAAGCTAGATTTTAGGTTGCTGCGCTCATAGACAGTTAAACTTATAACAACCGCATTTACTCGTGTTGCTTCTGTACTGTATGTACAGACATGTGGGTGTTTTGACTCAAAGGTCATGGAGTATTGAAAGAACAGATCTCAGTTCCAACCCAGTTCAACCCATAAAACTAAGCCCCATCTTTTGCTGTAGTTCCTCTTCTATGGACATTGTAGTGTCTTGCATCACTGTTTTAGTTTTATTACCTACAACTTTTCACTCATGCCAATTTGTTCTTACCAGGGCATCAACAATGGCTGTTTTGTCAAAATGTGAAAAATATACACGACTATCCTTTGGTGTCTTTTCCACCTGTGTCAGTATTCAATGCCACAAGTCATATAAACCACTGTGTAGAAGTCTACTTGTGTATGTCCTTTGTTGGTTGAGTCGCAGCTCTTCTCTGTTCTTACCCTACTAACTAAACTCATGGAGGAATTACATAGTTCCTCTCTTTTTAAGCTTTCTTGCTGTGCTCCTTGACGTTTTGCATTCAGTGGCCTTACACCAGGCTTTGACCATCCAAAAATATGAAGAACATCATTAACAGAGTGAAACCAGCCTCGTCAACAGACTGCCCAAGAACCCGTCCAGCTGATGTGTGGTACATGAGAGAGGTGAACTACGAAGAGAGATGATTAGGTGATTAGGTATGTGAGTGTAAAGTCTGAGTTTTCAGTGACACAAGAGTGGCTCTATTTTGATCTGCTAGGTCACCATGGTAACTGATGCTGCTCAGCTAAACCTGCTCTAGAGGAAATTCTGTTCAGAGTTTGGGATAAAATCAGCTGTACCACTCCTATATCAATTTATTCTCTCTGAGTGATACAGATTCTCAGTTGAGGGAACATGTATATGCAAATCTCTTGCTAAACAAAGCCGTGTAGTACCATTACAAAACTACAGTGCTGTGAAAAAGTATACAGATATCTTCCATTTTTGCACATTTGTCACATGTAAATGTTTCATATCATCACCCCCCAAGAAAATGTAGTTTTAAATGAATGTAGGCCTCAGTGGCCTCAGTAAAGATCAGTGTACATAATCCACAATTAGGAAGACACTGGCCAAAAATGGATCCATGAGAGAGTTGCAATGCATGACCCCTCCTGACCAAAAACAACACAAAGGATTGTCTGGCATTTACAAAAAATATCGGAACGAGCCCCAAGACATTTGGGAGAACATCCTTTGGACTGATGAGTCAAAGGTGGAACATTGTGGAAGACGTGTCCTGTTACATCTGGCGTAAAGCTAACACTGCATTCCACAAGAAGAACATGATACCAAAGGTGAAACGTGGTGGTGGTAGTGGGATGGTTTGAAGACCTGGACGACTTGTCCTAAGTGATAAAGCCATGAATTCTGCTTTCTATCAGAAAATCCTCCTGGAGAATGTCCGTCCATCAGTTCATGACCTTTAAGAAGTTTAAGCACAGATGGGTTATGCAGCATACCAATGACCTAAAGCACACAAGGAAGTCCACCTCTGAACGACTCAAAAAGAACTTAATTAAGGCTTTCTCGTGGCCGAGTCAAAGTCCGGACTTGAATCCAATTAAGATGTTGTGACAAGACCTTGAAAGGGCACTTCATGCTGGAAAACCATCTGATGTGGCCGAATTAAAACTATTTTGCAGAGAAGAGATGACCAAAATTCCTCCATGTCCATGTAAAAGACTGATCACAAGCTATTGAAAACATTTAACTACAGTTGTTGCTGCAAAGGGTGAACCAAGCAGTTATTAGATTTGGGGGTGCAATTACTTATTCACAAGGGTGATACAGGTCACGTAAAAACTGCACTTTGTGTTATCTTTAATATTAATATTAAATAAATATGAATATTAGTTTGGTAATCTGGAACATTTAAGTGTGAGAAATATGCAAAAATAGAAGATATCTGGCATGTTGCCATGAGAACCTACATGTATTCATCTGGTGATGCAAAAAATGCATTAATATGTTTTTATGTTTGACCCTGATGTGCCTGTTTTACACTACAGGTACTTCAGCTAATAGAAAGCAGATTAGAAAATGGATGAGCTTCTTGGTTTATTGGTGTTCATTGCAGAGAATATTCAAACAATAGCAATAATTTCACTCAGATTTGACCAAAAACCAATGTGACTTTCATGTCTCCTTTATTATGGGACAGTTTCATTGGGCACAAGTTGGAACTCTGACAGCCATGTTTGGTTCGTATTTCTTCTATTTGTTTTATGCTCTTTCCCTCATACTCTGGTAGAGCTGGGACCCTACAGACACGTAGTGACAGTTACGACTGCATGTGGAGTCATTGTTTTCCAAATGTCTGCTTATCCACACTAAAATCAATCACAAAGTTGTCAAACTAAAACAGGTCAATATTTTCTTAACTCTGTATTTTATGGGTCCTTAAATGTGTGAGAAATATGGACACTCGGCGAACCCTTGCTGAAGTCAAGTATTTTAGAATGTACACAAATTTAGCATGAATCACAGTTAGTCTCTTTGGTGTTCTTCAGCATACAGCCGCAGTTCAGCATGTATTGGAAGTCTGGAGTCCATACAAAAGCTGGTATCAGCAGCAGATGATCTGAGTCAGGTACACAGGCACGTACAGGTTTGTACTACTGACTGGTCTCATGGTAAATTTGGAGGGGTAAACATTTATCAGTCAAGTCTGTCACACAGAACTCAAAGCAGTCTCTGACACTATTTTTTAAAAATTATTTGTCACAAATGTCTCAGAACCTGTTTGGAGTTCAGAGGGTTAAGACTGTAATGCTTTCATTTATACAGCTGGCAAAAGCTGTCATGTTAGACTGCAGGGATGTGACTATTTCCTGGAGGACAAGATTTGTTTTTGTTTTTTTGCCAGCATCAAGGACCATTGCTAATCTATGATTGGATTTTAATTCCTAACTGTCTCTCACAAAATAATATTGCAAAAAAAACAAAAAACAAGCCGAACCTCTCAGTCTTCGTCACACACCACACACCTGTGTCTGCAGGTATCGGGGTGATTTGAGCTCCAGCTCCTCTTTGGCGGCAGTTGGAGCACAGCAACAAAACACCTGCTGGAAACCTGCTCTGAACCTGCCGAGTGGGAGACGGATATTTCACAGTGGGATGGATTAAACAAGAAGACAGGATTATAGACACAAATACAGATTATGTATGAGCAGATCGCCTACACAAATGACAAATTAACACCCACGCTGACACACAGCTAGCCATTTTGACAGGAAAGCATTTGGACCTGCTGTTGAGGCAGTAGTAGATGATGGGGTTGTACATGGTGGAGCTCATGGCCAGCCACATGATGGCCAGGTACACCTGCTGGATGTAGCGCTGCTCAAACAGCTCGGGGAAGAACTGGTGCAGCAGGAAGTAGATGTGATAGGGCAGCCAGCAGACAGCGAACGTACACACCACCACGATCATCATCTTCACCACCTGCCACGGAAAAACACCAGGAGACGGGGGTTTAAAACTAATCTTTTTTTTGTTTTCATGTGAGGGATTAAAAAGCCATTAAATTTAATGAGAACGTTTGGTGGCAGTGCTCAGCCGAGGGCTTACAGGGAAGACCTAAGTTGTGTCTGTGTTTGCATCACCTTGCGTTTGGCGATAAGCTGCTCTTTGTAGTGTTCAGACGAATCTCCGGGAATCGCACTCGCCCAGAGGGTGACACCCACCGTCGTGTACGCCCATCCCATGATGCAAAGCGGCAAGAAGTAGATCAGCAGTGCCACACACACGTAGTAGCTACAAAAATGAGTACATGACAAGAGGAGACAGAGATGAAAATGTTTTTACTGTTTGAAAACCGCTGGTTCATTGTTCAGCTAAACATGTGTCGTCCATGATGAATTAAATACTGGACACACCACTGAGGTACGAAACACAGAAATACTGGACAAAACACACTAGGAAAATGACAAATACAACAACATTTCAGAAAATATCAGAAGGTTTTACAAAATGTAATAAAACCAAAATCCGAAAACAAAACGTAAACACAGTGTTTCAACAAAAAACAAATGACAACTGAAAGCACAAAACAAAAACAAAAATATTAAACCAATGTAAAAACGATATTTTAAAAAACAAAACAAAACTGAAGCCATAAAATAAAACCACAATCTTCTAAAAACACAATAAACAAAAATTTGAACTTTAAACAGACAAAAAAACAAGGATCCATCCATATCAGCGACCACGCCTTGATTTATTTAGAAGACAACATAGGTGACGCTACAGCTAATACATGGAGATGGCGCTTTCCATCATACATTCTTAATGACAAAGACTTAAAACAGAAAATGGAGGCAGAACTCGATTTTTTTTTTTTAAATAAATGACAATGGCGAAATGAACCCTGAGTTTCTCTGGGAATCTGCAAAAGCCTACATTAGAGGATTCACCATATCGTATATGTCACATTGAAAAAGAACATTGATGATGAAGCAAAATAAATTGGAAAAAGACTTAAAGGAGGCAGAGCTGGCTCATAAATCCAATCCAATTAAGACAAATTTTTATTAAAACACAAGCATTAAGAGCAGAGCTAAATTCAGTCCTTAATGAGAAAGCTTCTAGATCCGTATTTTATCAAAAATGTGTGTATGAATATGGGAACAAACCTAGTAAAAATTTGGCACGACTGCTCAACCAGAAACAAACTTATAATACTATAGCAGGGATTAGAGATTCTGAAGGGAAAAGTAGAGAAAACTGTTTGCTCTGTCTTTGTATCATTCTATAAGTCACTATATAAATCTGAAAATAAAAGCACCAGAGAAGACCTTGATAATTTTTTTTCCAAAGTTAAATTACCAACATAAACAGAAGAACAGTAAAAGTCTCTAGGGAGACCCATTGAGGAGAAAGAAATTTTAAAGGCAATTACCCTAATGCGCAGTGGAAAGGCCCCGGGCCCAGACGGGTATCCTGTGGAATGGTTTATGGCTTTTAAAGACAGGCTTATTCCCCACCCAGGCAAGACCTACAACTACAGTTTTAACACTTCTCACCATTTACTAGAATCATTGTCATTGGCCAATATTTGTTTGATTCTGAAGAAGAATAAAGACCCCGAAGATCCTGGGTCATATAAGCCTGTATTGCTCATTAATGTGGATGCAAAGGTCTTAGCCACAGTCTTGACCTTGAGGCTTGAAGAACTGGTATTACTATTAGTAAAACCTGATCAAACAAGGTTCATTAAAGGGAGGAATTCTTTTAATAACATCAGGAGACTTCTAAATGTAATACAGCTAGCACATAAAAAAAAAATAAAGGGGATGGTGGTGTCTCTTGACTCGCTAAAAACTTTGATAGAGTTGAATGGTCATTCCTCTTCAATGCTATGGAAAAGTATAAAATTAGTATGGGGTTCACTGACTGGGTGAAATTGTTATACTGGTCGCCTAAAGGAGGAGCGAGGAACTGCGCAATCCAAGTAAGGCTGAGCTCGCTGCTACCTCACTTGGATTGCGCAATCTCTCACTGCGCTGGCCTATGCGTAGGCTGTCACTGCATGGCAGTAGAAGTTGTGTAGAATTCTGTGATCACTTCTTTTCCGATTTATTTCTATGGGAGCCATGGCTTTTTGGAGCCAGGACTAGCGGACGTAGTGATATTGCAGGTTTTTGACACTTCCGGGTTGGCTCCATTTTTCAGGGCCAGTTGCTACGTCCATCTTTCATACAGTCTATGAGTTGGACAGGTGTACCTAATAAAGTGGCCGGTGAGTGTAGATGCTGTAAAAATAGACCTGTGGCTGTGGCTCAGGTGGTAGAGCAGGTTGTCCTCCAATCACAAGGTTGGCGGTTCGATCCCCACCCCTCCACATTCGAAGTTGTTCCTAGTGGCAGGCAGCACCTTGCATGGCAGCTCTGTTTCCATTGGTGTATGAATATGTGTGTGAATGAGTGAATGAGAAACACATTATAAAGTGCTTTGGATAGAAGCGCAATATAAGTGCAGACCATTTACTCAGTCAAAAGAAAAGTTTAGGCTCAACAAAAAAAATAACACAACAATTTGGATCAATCTTTTTGAGTTATGACAACTTCTAATAAATAATGTTCAACCAGCAACCAACATGAAGCCTCTTCAATCAAAGGTGTTTTTCATAGCAACTTACTTTATGACTGGCAGCAAACAAAAAAACAGGTTTTAAGTTGATTACATACAACATTAAGTTGCTCCAACTAGTATTCTCTTATTATTTAAAGGGGATTATTGAAGATTATGTTACTAAGTATTTGAATTGACAAAGGTTTAACAAATTGAGTTGATCCAATTAGATTTTCTTTAATAGTTTTTTTTTTTTTTTTTTTTTAGGTATTTGGTCTTGTAGTAGCGCTTAAGAAATTAATTCACTTAACAACAAAATGTAGGCTCGTTAACTTCTTATCGGAACTGCAGTTGTGTATTTGAACACAATATTTAAATTCTGATAACATTAAACAAGAATTTTTTTGTTAAATTTACACACAATATTAAATTGATGCAGTTGCCAGAAATATTATTACTGGCAACCAAGCTCATCAAGATCATGTTTGAAATGTAAAAGTTTTATGTAAGTCAATTAAATAGAGTGTTTATCTTGCTACTATATATTTGAGTGAGTTGTGTAAATACGTTTCTAGATTTAGGGTTTTGGCAGAGCTGTTTCCATCTTTATACTCAGCTAAGCTGGACTCCAGAAACACTCTGAAAGCTGCAGAATTCAAAGATCTCATACTACAGCTCCTTTTGACTCATTTTTTGAAATATTGAGTCTATTTTATCTGTGACATTTTTTCCACGCCAGAAGTTGTTTAGCTTCCTTTATTATCCATCTTTCTTTACAGCCTAGATTCCTTGTCTGTCCTCCAGCAGCCTGTTTCAGGAGCAACTTACATAAAGTATGCATAATTAATATGACTCCTACTGGTTGGATTTGTGGCCTCAGGTTCACTTACAGTAGAATACTGGCTTTTCAATAATGTAAATTTCTTACATTGCATCTTTATGGCTGGAGCGAGAGCGACTTTAAGCCTATTCAGGATTTTTGGGGTCTTTTGGTTTAGGTGACATATTGTTTTTTGTTTTTTTTAAATTATTTTTGCTGGGTTTTTTTTAGGTGTTTTTAATCATTGTTATTAATATAAAAAGAGGAATATTTGTCATGCATTTGGAACCAAAATTATGTCAACTTATCAGAAAATTTATTTAACATAGTATAAAAGTCTATAATGCATACCAACACATATTTTGCATATATTCCTTTTTGGGGTCCAATGGACCCCGAAAGACCTTCTACATATGGCAACATGAAAGTCCCGAATAGGGTTAAGTATGGAAGAATCAGGCGCTGCACAGTTCAGACTTCAGCAGGATGTTTCAGGATGGTAAGAATTTGCAAAATTCTTTCAAAGGATTTTTTTCAGATAACGGTGGAAGTTGCGAGCTTAGCTTTAGCACCACTTGAAAATTACAGATGGAAGATTGTCATTCCTGATGTGAATGTTCATCCTTTGAAAGTCTGTGAAGACTTTTTAGCAGCCAGCAACAACAACCATCAACACCTTCATTTTGAAACCAGGCTCAGTTTCTAACCACGATTCTGTCTGTGTCCAAACTGTTTTCTAATATAGGTTTATTGTAACACTGACTAAGTACTCCTAAATTAATTAAAAGCGTGATAATTCCTGTAGAATGTGAGTGTGCTTGGTTGTCTGTCTCTAAGTGTGGCCCTGTGATAGACTGGCGACCTGTCCAGGGTGTTCCCTGCCTTCGCCCTAAATCAGCTGGGATAGGCACCAGCCCCCCCGCGACCCTAGTGATGATTAAGCAGTGTATAGATAATGGATGGATGGATAATTCCTGTACCATCATTTTCTTGCCTCCTAGTAAAGACAAGTGTTGGAAATTACACATCATCACTGTTGTTCACAGTCTGAGGACAGAAATATACCCACAGAACAAACTGACAGATCAAGAACTGAACACTATCAGAGGCGAATCTGAAAGACACTCAAACAAACACTGAACACTTCAAACTGAATAGGGTTAAACTAGTGATGTTTTGCTGTTGAAACTATGATATAGCTCATGATAATAATGCTGAAAGTAGGTTTAATGCTCAAATTTGGTTATAGAGAAAACTGTCTTTAGATTGTAAAACTTTCTGTGTCTCTGCTGCACTTATGAAGGTATAAGAGCTCAAATATGCTGGAAAAGGTAACAGAAAGCATCAATTTCTGGTGAGTCCCTGTGGATGAGGGCCTGTAGGTGAGAATATTCATAGTATGAAGGTCCTCATTTGTGTAGCTTCATGAAATATGCAGAATTTGTTGCAATTTAAAAAACAAAAAAAAACAACAACTGCTGGTTCTGTTGGAGTCAGGTGGTGACACTATGATGGATTGACCCCTGAGAAAAACTTTGATGGGATAACAACACCAGGTGCAGGTCTGCAGGGGGGTGCAAGTCTGCAGGGGTGTTATATTCTGCTCTGTTCCCCACATGTACTCACATTTTCTTGAAGTCCACAGTAGTGTTTTCGGGCCAGTCGATGTAGCAGACCGTGCGTCCAGGCAGCAGGGCTGTGGACGAAAAGTGGTACTGAGGGAAGGCCAGCAGCAGAGCCAGCATCCAGATCACAGTGATCACCACCCGGGTCTGCGTGGAGGACAGCCTCTGCTGCAGTGGGTGGATAATAGCCATGTATCTAATACACACACACACACACACAGAACATGTGAACACGTACTGACATTGTCTGCTTAAAAATGCATTAATATTTCTCCTAATATAAGAGGATTTTGCATGCAGATCAGTTATAAAAACGCGAAATCTTTTACATCACTTTAACTGTTTTCTAAAACAATACATTCTTTCACTTTTATTTACCTCAATGCAGAGAGAAAACCATCCAACACAGACTTGAGCTGAGACTTGCATTAAGCAGGCAGTTAACACTTTGCTACCTCTTTTTTGATGCCATATTACACATTTGTAATGCAGCATTGTGCTTCATTTAATGATATTCGGAAAATGTACATTTGGGTGGTCAGCTCTATGTTATTAAATTAATAACATAAACCTTTTCACAATGTTCTAATCTGCATGCTGACATGTTTCACCATAAAACAGTCATGTCATGCATGATTATTGCTTGCACTTATATGTGCGAGTTCATATAGAACGTTTGACCAAAAGATGAAGACAAAAAATGTTTTCTATGGATGAGGTTACATTTCTTATGTAAATTTCAAGTTATGAGAAGATCTGAGATAAAAGCGACCAAAAATCTGCAAAGCTAATAGCCTCAGCTGTACTATATGTTAACTACATGAGTAGATATGTCATTGGGAGATGCTGTTTACTGCAGCAATGGAACAAAGAAGCCTATCAATCCACCAGTCAAATACATCACAGTTTGTTGAATTTTCCAGTTGTTTGGTTTGTCACAAGCCGAGCCAAATGTATATTGATGATACAAGATGCCTGTATGTCTAAAGCAATAATTCAACAATAGAGTACTTAAGATGTACATACGTCTACTTTTTAAAAAAATGTTTTTATTGTATTTTAGTGCTTCCAATACATAATTTTGGAAATGGTGGGTCAGTGGTTAGCACCGTCGCCTCGCAGCTACAAGATGCCCAGTTCACGTCCTGGTTAGGACGCCTGGGATTCTTCTGCGTGGAGTTTGCATGTTCTCCTGTGCAGTGGGTTCTCTCAGGGTTCTCAGGCTTATAGACATAGATGTATGTATAAATAATGGATGGATGGATAACTATGAGGGATGCACAATAATATTATCCATTCACTGCTTAATTCTCACTATAGTAATGGGGGGGCTGGAGCCTATCCCAGCCGACTCAGGGCAAAGGCAGGGGACACCCTGAGCAGGTCACCAGTCTATAACATGCTTGTCTATAATTTTCTTTCTAATCTCCTGAGACAACTCTCTCCTTCAATTCCTCTGGTCCATGTTTAGTGTGGCATACACCATGTCACCAAACAGCACAGTGACTACTTGTAACCCTATAAGTAGGCCGACTGACTGATTACAAGTTTGTAGACACCTGTGATGCTAATTGGAGGACACACCTTGATTGAACATGTCCCTATGGTCACATTATTTTCAATCTTTTCTAGGGGTAGCATAATTTTTTGTCCAGGCTGTTTCATGAGTTTATTTTTTAAAAGAATTCTGTTAAACCATGGTTCAAAAGCAATGTCTGATTTTCATTGGTTAATTTTTATAGAATTTTTATTTATTATTACTTTTGTCAGATTCAAGTTATTTCTTACTATTTCTTATTTTCCTGGAACGGGTTTTTCTTTTATTAACCGAGGGGTACCAACAATTTGGTCCACGTGTATATTTCATTAGAATAACCAAAAATGGCACAAAATTTAATTGTTTCTACTTTTTCAGCCTGCCAGTAATTTTGATTCTTGTTTTTCTCTCCTAAACAGTATCATGGGTAGTTTTTTATCTTATTTTGGAAACAGCATGCTACTGATAAATGTTGCTTTATTTTTGCAGTAATTTATTCCAGTGTAACGTAGACATAAGTTATGTGGGTGCTCAATGGTAAATAGCAGATGACACCCATTTATATTTATATTTATCTATGAAGCCCAACGAAACCAGTCAGTTGGTCAGACTTCAGGCATGTCTGAAGGACATAAAGGCCTAGATGACCTGTAATTTCCTTCATATAAATTTAGACAAAAGCGAGGTTATTGTGTTTGGCCCTAAACACCTCAGAAACTCACATCGAACCAGAACTCTAGATGGCATTGCCTTGGCCTCCACTTCCACTGTAACAGACCCTGGAGTTGTTTTTGACCAGGACATGTCATTCAATAGACATATAAAAAAAGTTTGTAGGACAGCCTTCTTTCATCTACGTAATATTGCAAAAATCAGGAATATCCTGTCTCAGAGTGATGCTGAGAAACTAGTCCATGCATTTATAACGTCTAGACTGGACTATTGTAATTCCTTATTATCAGGATGTCCCAATAACTCTCTAGAAAACCTTCAGCTGATCCAAAATGCTGCAGCCAGGGTTCTGATAGGAACCAGTAAGAGAGATCATATTTCTCCTGTATTAGCTTCTCTTCATTGGCTCTGGGTTTGGTTCCTTCCCACCATTGCCAACCGCTTGCTCAGAAGGAGTCCAAAGGCTACTTTGGATTGTTGGGTTCTCTGTTTAAATTTGTAAGGTCTATACCGTACTATGTTAAGCACTATGTGATGACATATGTTGTAAACTGTGCTATACAAATAAAATAAAATTGAATTGAATTAAATAAAATACTAACACTTGTGATTAAACCTGACCTGCAAAACTTCAGCATGTTGCTTTGTTTTGTCTTGTCCATAATATACCAGAAAATCATGCAAGTGCGAACTGTGAAAGAGCCTTTATATCCAATAAGGCCTCCCCTATATTGTGCCACACATATTGTGCATACATAGCCTGAAGGCATGTGAAGTCATATAATGATTCCTGGGTTGTGCAGGACTGCAAATTACAATGGCGTGCTTGTGTAAACACACACTGTGCTCCCACACACCACACACCTGTCCAGCGCAATGGCTGTCATGGAGTAAATGCTTGCAAATATGGCTGCGATGGGGAAGAAATTGTGGAAACGGCAGTAAACCAAACCAAAGTACCACTCGTTGTGAACGGCATAGACAAAGTTGATCACTGTGTTGAATGCCGACATGGACGCCTCAGCAACAGCCAGATTCACCTGAAGGAGAGGACAGAATGACAGAATAAAATATATTTAACCCAGGGCATTTTTCTTCATTGTGGGTGTGTTTTTCATTGCAATAAAAAGTTCCACAATCAGCACAACCATGACCAGGAAAGAGAGAACTTAACATGTCTTCATTGCATTTTAACACAGTTAGATATTATTGCCTTGACTGCAGGACTTGATCTTACTTCTGAAACTGGAGAAGATTACATTTTCTGTCGGTGGCTCAACTGAAAAATGTTACCAACATTGTCAGCGTCTCCTCTCTTATTTCAAAGCACTGAAATCTATTCCACTGGACTGGAGGGAAGCTTGATCGGATGTAGGCAGTCATGAGTTGTTTCTGTGGAGGTAAATCCACATACATGTGCTCACAGGTACATCAGACACATGTCACATTGAGTAAACATGTTTGCATGTGACAGTGTTTGCTGTAGGCAGTGTGCATAATTAGGTTTTTCTCTCTCTTGTTTTTGTTTTTTGTTCCCCCCTTGTTCCATTTGGTCTTGGTTGGTTTCCTTCCCAAATATTAGTTTGCAACCTGTATTTAACTTTTATTTAATCTGAGGAATTGTTAATTATATTGTTGTTGTTTTTGTGTTTCTACAAAGGGAAAGAGGGTGGGGTGGGTGGGGGTGGGGGTGGGGGGCATGGCATGGTTTAAACACACATCTGTGAATGAAATGTAGTTAAAAAAAAAAAACAAAACATTTTTTAAAAAAAGATTCAATTTATTTATTTCACAAATAATGGAATCAACATGAACACCATGTTTCCAAGTGTCCACAGTGTTGCTAAATAGATAATAAACTATGTACATTTTCAGCCTCTACGCACTTTTTCCCACATTAACAGTGAACAGATATTTCACCATGCTGAATGTATCGCCAAAAACTTGTTCCTTTGTACATTATTCCTGAGCAATGTTGAGTTTGTTTTATTGATCCATCCATCCATCCATCCATCCATTCTCTTCCGCTTATCTGGGGTCGGGTCGCGGGGGCAGCAGGCGGAGCAGGTCGTCCCAGACCTCCCTCCCCCCGGCGACGCTTTCCAGCTCTGCCTGGGGGATCCCGAGGCGTTCCCAGGCCAGCCGAGAGATATAATCTCTCCAGCGGGTCCTGGATCTGCCCCGGGGTCTCCTCCCAGGTGGACGAGTTCGGAAAACCTCCAGAGAAGGCCTCCCCGGGGGCATCCGAACCAGATGTCCATACCACCTCAACTGGCTCCTTTCGACGCGAAGGAGCAGCGGCTCTACTCCGAGCTCCCTCCGGATGTCTGAGCTCCTCACCCTATCTCTAAGGCTGAGCCCAGCCACCCTGCGGAGGAAACTCATTTCAGCCGCTTGTATCCGTGATCTCGTTCTTTCGGTCACGACCCAAAGTTCGTGACCATAGGTGAGGGTTGGGACGTAGATGGACTGGTAAATTCAGAGCTTCGC